AATTATTTTAACGTGTAATTTCAATAAATTTTAAGGCGAAATGTGTCGTCTTTTTGACAGGAGCGTCGCGTTGTGATCCGAATCATCCGGACGACACACCACAACTGAATATGGGACACAAATACCAGAAAAACAAGGTCACGCTCAAACCATCGACGAATCGCTTTGAAAGACAAAACAAACGATTCCGTAGCGACGTAGCGACAGTTTCTGATAAATCCCGGGATGAAATTACCACATGGACTTCTTCACGTCCTAACTTAGAATCCACGGCAACTCAGAGCCACAAACCAGCTTGAACGAACCTGAACTGAAAAGGGTGTTCAGACCGATGGAAACCAGTGCGAACCTTCTGAAGAACTGAAAAGGCTGCAGTCTGAAATTGAGAAACTTAAAAGTCAACTGGAAACTGAAAGTAAAAACAACTATGTACTTCAACAACGAACTGCAAAAATACATTGGAGAAAATAAAGAGCTAAAGGAGAAACTGACATCCAGTTTGTTTAGGGCTGTCAGTCTGAGGTGTGTCGGGCATCTGGTCCGGATGCCTCCTGGACGTCTCCCTGGAGAAGTGGAGGAGGCCCCGGGGAAAACCTAGACACACTGGAGGGACTATGGCTGCGTTCAGACTGCAGCCTGAAGTGACCCAAATCTGATTTTTTGGCTTCTATGTTCCTGTATCAGATCTTTTAATGACAGTTTGAACGACACAGATCCGAATTTTTCAAATGTGACCCAGGCCACTTGGATATGTGCTCCTGAAACTGATACATATCTGATCTTTTGACATGCGACTTCAGTCTGAACGGCCAAAGCGCATCCATCCGACCTACACGTCATTAACAAGCGACAAACGTCACTATTCTGCGCTGAAGCAGGCGGAAACCGGAACTGTAAAATTGCCAGGTGCTCAATGCTCGCGACCATGTTTGGACAACTTCTGTAAACACAGAGACGCTCGCTGCGGTTGACGCATGCGGTTGACGTCGTCGTGTCTCCAGTGTCACATGTGGGACACTTTCGGGCCGTTTACCTTCACACTGAAGCCACAGACAAGTCGCATTTAATTGGAAATGTGCACGACCTCGCAAAAACATTGGATTTCACAAAAAAAATCGAATTGAGCATAAAGCCCATGCAGTCTGAACGTAGACCATATTCACTTGGACAAATATCCACAATGACTTGGTGGAAACTCCTGGGCCATTCACAGCAGAAAAGATGAAAACCTCCAAGAGTCTGGATGTGTTGTTGAACTTGTTGGAGTCCACGGTTTGTTAGGATCTTCTACGTTTGCTCTGCGGATGTTTGAAAGTCGTTTAATTCACCGTTAGTGGTTCTTTTCACTCAGAATACGAAAAAAAAAGACATTTTCCTTCTTCCGTGCTTCTATTTGTGCGTCCGATAATGCAGCAGGAATTTACCATTATCGGGGAGAAATACACGAGGTTACGCACTGTGTTTGTTTCCCAGCAGCAACGCGGGCTTTTAATAACAATGACGTCAGCTGAAACTCGCCTATAGATATATGGGCAGACAGTGTTGGGGAGTAACAGATTACATGTACCAGAGTAATCAGAGTACAAATGATGAGTAACTGTATTCAGTTACAGTTACTGTTTCAGTGAGTGGGAATTGGATTACAGTTACTTGGTTGAAATAAATGGATTACACAGAGGGATTTTACTGTTTTCACATTTTGGACTATATCTCTCTCTCTTTTTTTTATTTTATTTTACCAGGTCTAAACCAGGACTAAAACCAGGTCTAAACCAGGTCTAAACTAGATCTAAACCAGGTCTAAACTACATCTAAACCAGGACTAAAACCAGGTCTAAACCAGGTCTAAACCAGTCTAAACTAAACTAGAGGTCTAAACCAGGTTAAACTAGATCTAAACCAGGTCTAAACCAGGACTCAACCAGGTCTAAACTACATCTAAACCAGGACTAAAACCAGGTCTAAACCAGGTCTAAACCAGGTCTAAACTACATCTAAACCAGGACTAAAACCAGGTCTAAACCAGGTCTAAACCAGGACTCAACCAGGTCTAAACTACATCTAAACCAGGACTAACATCAGGTCTAAACTAGATCTAAACCAGGTCTAAACTAGATCTAAACCAGGTCTAAACTAGATCTAAACCAGTCTAAACCAGTCTAAACCAGGTAAACCAACTAAACCAGGTCTAAACTACATCTAAACCAGGACTAAAACCAGGTCTAAACTAGATTTAAACCAGACTAAAACAGGTCTAAAACAGGATTAAACTGGACTAAATCATGGACGTGTCTCCTCTTCTTCTATCAATAATGTTTTTAATACTGTTAAAGGTTGTATGGAGGATTTTTTTTCAGTTTCAAACTGTCAATGAAAGTTTAAAATACCGTTACAGAGACGCAGCAGCTTTGTAATTATGATGATCAAAAAAAAAAAAAGAATGAAAATCTATCAACTGTGGACGTGTGAGGCCAGATAAACATCAGCCAATAGAAAACGAGGCTGCCTCATTTTCTATTGGCTGTCAATCAAAACTCCCTATGTTTCTAGTGTAACTGACTCGTCGCGCGTTGGATTACGTGTTTATGGGCGGTTCTTTGAGGCTTTTCGAACCGTCGCTTCCTCGCAGTTCGCACAAATTTGTCGCGATGGCGGATGAGAATCCACGACCAGTTCGCCGCGAAAGAAAGTCCGTTTTTGAGGTCGCTGAAAAGAAGAAGAAGAGAAGGGGAAAAGAGCGAAGAAAAACTGAGGTATTCTTGGAATCCTTCCAGCGACGGCGCACTGAAGCAGACGAAGGCTCTAAAAACTGACGCGCCTGTCGATAAATGACTTCTAGACAGGTCACTTCAACAGTAATTCTGAACACGCTGATGTAACAAACGTGATTTCTAGAGTAAAAAGGAGGAGGAGGTGTTTCTACTGAGGGAGCTGCATGCACAACATTTGAAAAAGGACAGTCGCTGGATTTCACTTCCCTTAAAAAATCCTCTATACAACCTTTAAGTAAAGTTTGGTCTTTTTATTTTCTTTTAGCAGACAAAACATCTTATGTTACGATTTCCTCGTCTTTGCTCCTCTACAGAAAGTCAAGTAATCCAAAGTATTCAGATTACATTACTCACTGTAAGTAATTTAATGGATTAAGTTACAAACTACATTTTGGTGTGTGTAATCTGTAATCTGTAGGGGAATACGTTTTAAAAGTCACCTTCCCAACACTGTGGGCAGATCATATCACAACATCTTCAGGGCCTTTGCGAATAAGTGCATGTGCAATTTGCGTCATTTAGTTTTCTTTAAATAAATGTCATAGTGAAGGCCCAGGGTCCAGGTCCACGCTTCACCACAGCCAAGTACAAAGACGACTGCAGAACTCCACACCACAAACTAAAGATTTATCCTGTACCGACATGTGTCAGTGCAGCAGCCAGTGCCAGAATGATGATGAGAAAGTGCAAAGGACACAACAATCTTATATTTCAACTCCTTTTGGAGGTATAAAATAAATAAATAAATAACTTCATCTAGATAAAAAAAAAAAGAAGGAAAAAAAATCATAAAGTCGTTATTTTGTATTAGACTATATGTTTAAAGATGGGGTATTTTGCTTTTATTTTAATTTTTTGCTTTTTATTTATTAACCGCTTACACACACGTTTACAGTTTTGTATCCTGTTTTTTTTTTTTTTTTTTTTACTTTAATTTAAAAAACTATCGAGCTATTCACTGCCTGATCTTGAATTATTTATTAATTTTAGATGTTGTGTTGTGCTCTCATTTTATTATTTGTATGTGTTATAGTGGAGACTTATGATTTGCCCAACGGCGTGTGAAAAGTCTTGATCACGTGAGGCACAATATTATGAATGTTCTGCACCTGTGAATAAAGTGAAGTGTGTGACCACACAAAAAGAGAAAACAACGTGAACTGTGTTTTAAAGGTCACTGTGTAGAGGGACCCTGCTAACAGTATGTATGTATGTATGTATGTATGTGTATGTATGTATGTATGTATGTATGTATGTATGTATGTACTGTATGTATGTATGTATGTATGTATGTATGTACTGTATGTATGTATGTATGTATGTATGTATGTATGTATGTGTATGTATGTATGTATGTATGTGTGTGTGTATGTATGTATGTATGTACTGTATGTATGTATGCATGTATTTTATGTATGTATGCATGTATTTTATGTATGTACTGTATGTATGTATGTATATGTATTTATGTACGTATGTATGTGTGTGTATGTATGTTATGTACTGTATGTATGTATGTATGTATGTACTGTATGTATGTATGTATGTATGTATGTGTGTATGTATGTATGTATGTATGTATGTACTGTATGTATGTATGTATGTATGTATGTATGTATGTATGTATGTATGTGCTGTATGTATGTTTGTATATACTGCATGTATATATTGAATGTATGTATGTATGTATATACTGTATGTATGTATGTATGTATGTGTGTATGTATGTATGTATGTATGTATGTATGTATGTATGTATGTATGTATGTATGTGCTGTATGTATGTTTGTATATGCTGCATGTATATATTGAATGTATGTATGTATATATACTGTATGTATGTATGTATGCATATATACTGTATTTATGTATATATGTATGTATGTATATCTGTATGTATGTATGTTTGTATATACTGCATGTATATACTGTATGTATGTATGCATATACACTGTATGTGTGTATATTTATGCAGCGTGTACGACAGGTATGCACTCCAAAGGTGTAAAAAGGAAAAAAAAAAAAGTGTCAACCACGTTATTTATTTATTTATTTTGTTATAGTTGTTGTTGTAGTCGCACCTCGCTCAAACAAATAAAACGAATGAATGCGCTGAATGAATAACGTACACTGCGCACTGTGCCCGTCTCGTACATACATAACAAAAAAACAAAAAAAACAAAAGATAAAGAGTTGATCCAGTGTCGATCCAGCGCGTTCATTCCCGTCTTCCTCCTGCAGAGAGCTCCACGAAGCCCGAGTCTCTCGCCTCCTGCGCGCGGTGTGTGCGGAGAAAGCAGAGAAAGAAAAAAAAAAAAAAAAGCCCCAGACGTCACACGGACACAGGAGCAGCACCGCACTCCGCTCCCACAACACCACACGGGCTAACGGCTAATGCTAACGAGCTAACGGGGCTAACGGGGCTAACGGGGCTACAAGCGGGCTACATGCTCCGCCCTGAGCTCTCACCCACACTCCTCCGCCGAACCGAACCTCCCAGCAGAACCGAACCCGCCCCGGTGCCGGAACCGCCCGTCTCCCGCCCCCCGGAGCCTCTTTTTGCGGACCGCAGGAGGCCAATTTGTCCGAGCAGCAGCTAGCCTAGCCGCTAACAGTGGGCAGCAGCTATGGACGAACTGGTGGTGGAAGTGCGAGGGACCAGCGGGGCGTTTTACAAGGTGCGTTTCGTGCTTTTTAACATTTATTTACACGTTAAAATGAAACAAAACGCTCCGATTTGCATGCAACAATTACCAGAATATGCAAATGTGTTGTTGTGATGCTTTTGGCTGCATGTGGGGCCTTCAGAACGGGGGGGGGGGACCTGAAAACAAACAAAAAAATAAGCAGGTTACCGAATTATAAACATGCTTTTTATGAGTTGGCGACTTTTTAACGCAAATTATTACGAAAAGTGTGCATTTGTAGACGTAATGTTGGCGGAATGGGCGTGTGTCGCGTGTGGATGTTGCACGTAAAAGTGAATGGAAGTGGCTCATTTGTCAAAACGCGCAGTGTTATTGGACTTTTAGTGTAATTTATAACACGTTTTGCAGTTAAAATGTTGCGCGTAACGGGATTTTGGCGCATGCATGGCTCCTAAACGTGCTCGTGATCAATACGGAGTGAAATATACGTGACAAAAGTAAGTTTCTATTTAGTGGAAAAGGTGATGGGCGTGTGCACATTATGAAAGTTAATGTTTGATTTCTACTTTTATTAAACAAAGAAGCCAAAAACTGCAGCTATATAATGTTATGTAATCCCTGTGTTGGTGACTGTGTTTTGGTGGTTAAAGTTGTCCTGTAATGTCCTGTGTTGTGGAGAAAGTAGGTCAGGATTATAGCTGTGGAAAAACATTAAAATATCGATATATCGTATTGTTTAATATGATGATACAGTATCGATATATCGCCGAGTGTGTTTTCTGGTCAATTCTACAAAATTATTTCGTTACAGAGACAGTTTTGTTGCTTGTTCAGAGGAAGGAAACTCATTTATGCGACACGTTTTTCTGTTTTGTAGGGTGTAACGATACGATAAACAAAATATCGTGATATCGTATCGTCAAAAGTCTCTCAGTAATATCGTGGGCTGTCACAATATATCGAATCACAAGTTTCTTTGCTTAAATTTATTGTTATAGTCGACAAAATATCGTAATAAATACAAAGATCGCAATAAATACGTGAGATGTATGTCATGAAAATATTGTACCGTAAGATTTGGATATCGTTACATCCCTACTGTTTTGACAAGTAAAATGTTTGTGTTTCATATGAACTTTGGACAAGAAGTGGTTTGACAAAGACTTTTAGTGTCACATCCACGATTTAGCCATTATTTTTTAGTGAACCGTATCGAATCGATCTGAAATATATCGTATCAAACTAAAAGTGCACTGTTTGTATCTGTACTGTTTACATATCTCGATACAGTGAGTTTTCGATTCAATACAGTTAAATAAAAAAAAAAACATGGATGTGATACTAAATTAAAGGCTGCTCGATTATGGAAAAAATCATTATCACAATTATTTTGGTCAATATTGAAATCACGATTATTCAAAACATTATTTTTTATTTACACGATGCATTTATTCAGCATTTCTCTCTCACTTTGTTATTGATAATTTACACAAAACTTTCAAATTAAAAAAAAGGTTGCAAATATGAATCTTAGAGCAGTTTTGCGATATATTAGAAATAAAATGAATAAAATAAACTTTGAACATGAAATAAGGCATAGAAAAACATAAATGTATCCAAAATATCCAGCTGTTCTACAATCTCTATATTTAAAAAATAAAATAAATATATTTATTTAGTAACTTTACTTTTAACTTTTTTTTTTTTTTTATCGACACCTGAGAATCTAGTTTTGATATTAGTTTTAGTATCTAATCGATTAGTATCTGATTTTTCGGTAGTACTGGTTTAGTCCTGGTTAAAATCTGGTACAAAGTCCAGGTTTAGTCGTGTTTTAGTTCTGTTTAGTCCTGGTTTAGACCTGCTTTAGTCCTGAAGTAATCCTGGTTAAAATCTGGTATAAAGTCCTGGTTTAAGTCCCTGGTTTAGACCTGGTACAAGGTCCTGGTTTAGTCCCATTTTAGACCAGGTTTAGTCCATTTTTAGTTCTGTTTAGTCCTGGTTTAGACCTGCTTTAGACCTGAAGTAATCCTGGTTGAAATCTGGTACAAGGTCCAGGTTTAATCCCATTTTAGATCGGGTTTATGTCCCTAGTTTAGTCCTGGTTTAGACCTGCTTTAGTCCCAAACTAATCTTGGTTAAAATCTGGTATAAGGTCCAGGTTTAGTCCCAGATTTAGTCCCTGATTTAGTCCCTGGTTTAGTCCCTTGTTTAGTCCTGGTTTAGACCTGCTTTAGTCTTGAAGTAATCCTGGTTAAAATCTGGTACAAGGTCCAGGTTTAGTCGTGTTTTAGTTCTGTTTAGTCCTGGTTTAGACCTGCTTTAGTCTTGAAGTAATCCTGGTTCAAATCTGGTACAAAGTCCAGGTTTAGTCGTGTTTTAGTTCTGTTTAGTCCTGGTTTAGACCTGCTTTAGTCCTGAAGTAATCCTGGTTAAAATCTGGTATAAAGTCCTGGTTTAAGTCCCTGGTTTAGACCTGGTACAAGGTCCTGGTTTAGTCCCATTTTAGACCAGGTTTAGTCCCATTTTTTAGTTCTGTTTAGTCCTGGTTTAGACCTGCTTTAGTCCTCAAGTAATCCTGGTTGAAATCTGGTACAAGGTCCAGGTTTAATCCCATTTTAGATCGGGTTTATGTCCCTAGTTTAGTCCTGGTTTAGACCTGCTTTAGTCCCAAACTAATCTTGGTTAAAATCTGGTATAAGGTCCAGGTTTAGTCCCAGATTTAGTCCCATTTTAGTCCCTGGTTTAGTCCCTTGTTTAGTCCTGGTTTAGACCTGCTTTAGTCTTGAAGTAATCCTGGTTAAAATCTGGTACAAAGTGCAGGTTTAGTCGTGTTTTAGTTCTGTTTAGTCCTGGTTTAGACCTGCTTTAGTCCCGGTTTAGTCCTGGTTTTAGACCTGGCTTAAGTCTCTGGTTTAGACCTGGTACAAGATCCCGATTTAGTCCCATTTTAGACCTGCGTTATTCCCATTTTATTTCTGTTTAGTCCTGGTTTAGACCTGCTTTAGTCCTCAAGTAATCCTGGTTAAAATCTGGTACAAGGTCCAGGTTTAGTCCCATTTTAGTCCTGGTTTAGTCCTGGTTAGACCTGGTAAAAATCTGGTACAAGGTCCAGGTTTAATCCCATTTTATTTCGGGTTTATGTCCCTAGTTTAGTCCTGGTTTAGACCTGCTTTAGTCCTAAACTAATCCTGGTTAAAATCTGGTACAAGGTCCTGGTTTAGTCCCTGGTTTAGTCCCTGGTTTAGTCCCAGGTTTAGTCCCATTTTAGTCCCAGGTTTAAATCCCTGGTTTAGACTTGGTACAAGATCCCGGTTTAGTCCCATTTTAGACCTGGTTTAGTCCCATTTTAGTTTAGTTTAGTCCTGGTTTAGACCTGCTTTAGTCCTGAAGTAATCCTGGTTAAAATCTGGTACAAGGTCTAGATTTAGTCCCATTTTTAGTTCTGTTTAGACCTGGTTTAGACCTGGTACAAGATCCCGGTTTAGTCCCATTTTAGTTCTGGTTTAGTCCCGAGTTTAGACCTGGTTTAGACCCGGTTTAGACCTGGTTTAGACCCGCGTTGCCAAAGTTTGTGCTTTGGATCTTCAGAGGTTTTGGAGATACTTGGACATTTTACACATTGCGTCGCTCATTAACTCTGTGATGGTGAAACGCTTGTGTAGCCGCAGTCGCCCTGAGGCAGACTGAGCCCCGACACACACACACACACACACACACACACACACACACACACACACACACACACACACACACACACACACACACACACACACACACACACACACACACACACACACACATTCATACATGGCAGTTCAGGTGAAGAAGTGCCCTAAAAAGACCTTAAATTGCTCCTCGGGTCGTGTTTAGGCCTGTCAGGACAAATACTGTAACAACTTTAATACTTTCAATACCTTGAAGCTACAACAGTCTTTATTTTATTTTATTTTGGGGGGGGGGGTTTAGTCCTGGTTTAGACCTGGTTTAGACCTGGTTTTAGTCCTGGTTTAGTCCTGATTTTAGTCCTGGTTTATTCCTGGTTTTAGTCCTGGTTTAGTTCTGGTTTAGTCCTGGTTTTAGTCCTAGTTTTAGTCCTGGTTTTGTCCTGGTTTTGTTCCTGGTTTAGCCCCGGTTTAGTCCCGGTTTTAGCCCTAGTTTACTTTTGGATTTGTCCTGGTTTAGCCCCGGTTTAGTCCCGGTTTTAGCCCCGGTTTTAGCCCTAGTTTACTTTTGGATTTGTCCTGGTTTTAGTCCCGGTTTTAGCCCTAGTTTACTTTTGAATTTGTCCTGGTTTAGTCCCGGTTTTAGCCCCGGTTTTAACCCTAGTTTACTTTTGGATTTGTCCTGGTTTAGTCCCGGTTTAGTCCCGGTTTTAGCCCTAGTTTACTTTTGGATTTTTGGTTTTCCCGGTTTAGTCCCGGTTTTAGCCCTAGTTTTACTTTTGTTTAATTTGTCCTGGTTTAGTCCCGGTTTAGTCCCGGTTTTTAACCCTAGTTTACTTTTGGATTTGTCCTGGTTTAGTCCCGGTTTAGTCCCGGTTTTAGCCCTAGTTTACTTTAGGATTTGTCCTGGTTTAGTCCCGGTTTTAACCCTAGTTTACTTTTGGATTTGTCCTGGTTTAGTCCCGGTTTAGTCCCGGTTTAGTCCCGGTTTTAACCCTAGTTTACTTTAGGATTTGTCCTGGTTTAGTCCCGGTTTTAGCCCTAGTTTACTTTAGGATTTGTCCTGGTTTAGTCCCGGTTTTAGCCCTAGTTTACTTTTGGATTTGTCCTGGTTTAGTCCCGGTTTAGTCCCGGTTTTAGCCCTAGTTTACTTTAGGATTTGTCCTGGTTTAGTCCCGGTTTTAGCCCTAGTTTACTTTTGGATTTGTCCTGGTTTAGCCCCGGTTTAGTCCCGGTTTAGTCCCAGTGTGGTTTAGGATTTTGACCCCGGGGTCAGAATTCTATTCTGATTTGTTGACCCCCATTTGAAAATCTATATTTTTATTAATAAACAACTTGAATTCTATGGAAAAGTCTTTGCATATTAATACTATATCTGCAAATTAAAACATATTGAAATATTTAAAAGTGTTTTTTGAAGAACTTAGATGCATTTTTTTATGTCAGTTATAACTTTTGAATGTTAAAAATGACTTATATTTGACTGAAAATGAGAGAAGTTGTTATTAATGAGTTAAATAATCAAAGTGATGTGTGATGATGATTTGGAATCTTGGGCTGATCAAGTTAAACAGATGATAGGAGAAGATTTGTTCAATAGTTTCTGTAATCAATAACTTCACTTAAAATTACATAAAACCAGAACAATGTAAAATACAATATAAAAAGTGACAAGATTGTTATGTATATGCAATTTTTACTTTTAATACGTCGCATTTACACAAAATACCAAAGGGTTCGGTCAAGTGTTAAAGGAGGAAACAGGGTCAGATTTTTGACATTCAAATGTCTCTTATTCAGAAACTAGAGGAACTATTGAAATAAGTAAAGTATCAGAATGTAGGAAAGAGTTACACTCCAACAGGGTCAAGTTAAACCTGTGAGATTCTTTCAACTTGTTGACAAAAAATAAAATAAAACTCATGTTGGTAACGGAGGGAATGAAATATGCAGCACTTTTTGGTCAATAAATCCAAACAGTGATAACTCTTGGTTCTCACTTCCATATCCTTAACAAACTGGTTTGAATATTTGCTTCATATAGTTTTCTACCATATGGTACAAGATTAGGTTGAAAAACCTCTGACTTTTTGACTCATGAGATTTTTTATTAAGAAAGTTCATGGTAACGGAGGGAAAAGTAACGGAGGGAAAATTGTACAAACAAGTAGAAGGTGCAGGATTTTACATCATTTGTCGCTTTTTTCTTCTGAATACTTTAATATTACTTCAAAATGAAAGAAAACTATTTCTTTTTTTTTTTTTTTATTAATATTTTTATTAAGGAATCACAATATACTCATACAAGATTTACAAATCACAATTATTTTTCCTTTTATATTTTTGTTATTTTCAAAAGGAAAACACCATCTTAATAATAAATACCAAATCCAAATATTATCAAAAATGAAGCAAAGGCAAACAATTAAAAGATAATAATAATTATGATGGTGAAAAAAAAGAAAAAATAAAATAAATAAAATTAAAAAGTAAAGAGAGAAGAGAAGACAGTAGGTGGGGGAGGATCTAAAGGCAGAATTTTTAATGATTTGCAGTATAAACAAACCCCATTTCTGTTCAAAACTTTCTTCATTAGGAAAATATTTCTATAAAATATGTCAGCCCTTCCAAGCAAATTTTTATCATTTTAAATTTTTTTTTTTTTTTTGACAAATCCTGTCCCTTCATCAACAGTTCAAAGATGGAATAACACAAGATATGATGAAATACATCCATTTATTTACATGATTTGCAGGTCTTTGAAATTTGGGAAATAATTTTTGTTCCATGTTTCATACATGGTCTGTTTAAAACATATGGAACTTTAGAACCAAAAATGGAACAGAAAAAAGGTCAACAGTTTGATAAACTAGAGCATACATATGTATCTGTTCAATACTGTTTTATATCAGATGCATTAACTTGAATTTATGGCCTTGTTTACTTCTGTTTGACCTGGACCCTGAGTCGTTTCTCCATCACAACATTCCTTATAACACCTTAAAAGAAAGTGAATATGTAGCAGTGTATAATAAAAATAAATGACATGATAAATAATGATCAGATAAGTAACGACTAAAGACAAAAGTAAGAGGAGTCAAAATCCTACAGGGGGGGTCACTTTTACTGTGGCGCTATGTTCACACCGGGGGCAGTAAACTATGAGGGGTCAAAAAAATACCATCTCACACCGGCCCTAGTGGAAAGAGTTCAACATTTCATATTTAGCCCTAAAAGTCTGATCAGTTCTACACATGCAGGTGCCCATAAAGTCATGAAAAAGTTTTGAAATATTGTGAAAAAGAGTGTGAGAGTGAGATGTGGCCGGTCACGTGTCTCCGGTGAATCTGCAGATGTTGCGCTTGGATAAATACAGCGGGAGGACGGACCTTGTCACTTAAAACGTGGTTAATCTTTTTCTTACGTTTATGTAAATGCCATTCAGCGGGTACAGGTAAAACTGGCTCCTTCTCCTGCCGTCTGAAAACCTGCCTGCGCGTGATTGATCTGATGTTTGTTCAAGCCTCTGTTTTGTTCTTCAGGCTTTTGTGAAGGACGTCCAGGAGAATTCGGTGACTGTGGCGTTTGAAAACAAGTGAGTGACGACACCGTTTGGGGTTTTTTATGTTTCGCGAGAGCGACTAAATCAAATATGTCGTGTGTTTTGTGTGTGTTTGGCGTTTTCCAGTTGGCAGCCGGAGCGACAGATCCCGTTCCACGACGTGCGGTTCCCTCCTCCGTCCGGAGCGCTCAAAGAGATCAACGAGAGCGATGAGGTCGAGGTGAGGGGTCAGGGGTCAAAGGTTGAGAATATTTTTATGTCTCTGTAGTTTTTAGGGCTGTACTCGAGTAAAGAGGCTGTGGTAAAAAATATTAGAATCTAAACAACTGTACACAGAAAAGGTAATAATACTTCTGATGACAGAGTTCCCACGGTCATGGAAATCCTGGAAATGCCCGTTCACACCAAAGCGTCAAAAAACTCCTCGACGCTTCTATTTGGAGCCTTTGTATTTGAGTTCAGACGCCCCCGACGCTCGTGTCTTTGACGTCGTGGACGAACGGGACAAAAATACTTGACGCGCGTCCGTTGCCCTGGAAACAAGAGCCCGGTCCCGGTCTTTTCCCGAAACAATGTCAGACCAGACTGAGAGACTTGAGTGTTTTTATGACATAAAACATCAGCGGAGGAAATCGACTCGACGACTGGAGCCAGTTTATATTTATACTCCACTAATGACACTGGATCAGTCCTGGTCTAGTCCTGGTCTAGTCCTGGTCTAGTCCCGGTCTAATCACGGTCTAGTCCCGGTCTAGTCCCGGTCTAGTCGTGGTTTAGTCTCGGTCTATTCAGGGTCTAGTCCTTGTTTAGTCTCGGTCTAGTCCTGGTTTAGTCCCGATCTAGTCCTGGTTTGGTCCCGGTCTAGTCTCGGTTTAGTCTCGGTCTAGTCCTGGTCTAATACCGGTCTAGTCTCGGTCTAGTCTCGGTCTACTCCCAGTCTAGTCCTTGTTTAGTCCCGGTCTAGTCCTGGTCCGGTCCTTGTTTAGTCCTGGTTTAGTCCTGGTTTAGTCCTGGTTTAGTCCCGGTCTAGTCTCGGTTTAGTCATGGTTTAGTTCTGGTTTAGTCCAGGTTTAGTCCTGGTTTAGTCCTGGTCCAGTCCTGGTTTAGTCCTGGTTTAGTCCCGGTCTAGTCCCGGTCTAGTCTCGGTCTAGTCTCGGTCTAGTCCTGGTTTAGTCCTGGTTTAGTTCTGGTTTAGTCCTGGTTTAGTCCTGGTTTAGTCCTGGTTTAGTCCTGGTTTAGTTCTGGTTTAGTTCTGGTTTAGTCCTGGTTTAGTCCTGGTTTAGTCCTGGTGTAGTCCTGGTGTAGTCCTGGTGTAGTCCTGGTTTAGTCCTGGTTTAGTCCTGGTTTAGTCCTGGTTTAGTCCTGGTTTAGTCTGGTTTAGTCCTGGTGTAGTCCTGGTGTTAGTCCTGCTCTGGTCCTGGTGTAGTCCTGGTGTAGTCCTGGTTAGTCCTGGTTTAGTCCTGGTTTAGTCCTGGTTTAGTTCTGGTTTAGTCCTGGTTTAGTCCTGGTGTAGTCCTGCTCTAGTCCTGGTGTAGTCCTGTCTAGTCCTGGTGTAGTCCTGGTGTGTTTAGTCCTGGTTAGTCCTGGTTTAGTCCTGGTTTAGTCTGGTTTAGTTCTGGTTTAGTCCTGGTTTAGTCCTGGTTTAGTCCTGGTTAGTCCTGGTTTAGTTCCTGGTTTAGTCCTGGTTAGTCCTGGTTTAGTCCTGGTTTAGTCCTGGTCTGGTCTAGTCCTGGTTAGTCCTGGTCTGGTCCTGGTTTAGTCCTGGTTTAGTCCTGGTGTTTGTGGTGTTTATATTTATTATATATTTATTCTTCGTTCATGTTTGTGGTTCTGGTTCTGGGGTTTTTCTTCCTGATAAAAACGTCGCTGCGTCTCTGGATACTCGTCTCTGATTGGTCGACGCGGCGCTTCTGACGCCAAAAGTTCAGCATTTTCAACTTCTTGACGCCGACGCCAAAACGCTCAAGACGCAACGCAAAAACGCAGGACGCTCTAGTCGCGTCCACATCGACTTTACATAGAAACTGGACATGAACTCATGAACTAACCATTTGCATGTTTACAAATGCATATTTACGTTCACATTTGAACATTTATTAATGATTAGTAAACTATGAGAGAATGATTTACTAATAATGAAAATGCAATGATAATTCAGGCAGCTATTCAATTCCAGAGAAACAGTAATGCATTATTAGTAAATCATTCTCTCATGGCTTACTAATCATTAATAAATGCTCAAATTTGGACTTAAATATACATTTACAAATGCACACAAATGGTTAGTTCATGAGTAATTAAGAAGTATTGAGTAACTATTTACAGCTCAGGCGAATTAAGTGCAAGTTAAGTGCTAATTCAGGTAGTAATTAAGTAGTTATTAAGTGTGAATCATTATTAATTAAGTCTTTGTTCATGCTTTATTAAGGCTAAATAAGGTGTAGTTATTATAAAGTGTTTCCATATTTTCCTTTTTGTGTTTGAGGTTTACTCCAGAGCCAACGACAAAGAGCCGTGCGGCTGGTGGCCCGCCAAGGTCCGAATGGTCAAAGGAGAAGTGAGTCCGACACCACAGACTTCAGACTAAACACTGAACACTGCAAGAGTCTTAACGAATCATCAGGAAATCTAGAAATAACCTGTTCTCTTACGCAGGCTTCAGAAATAAAACAGATAAACACGATTTTTAAAAATAGAGTTGTTAAGTGATGATGTCACCTCGGGGTCTAACCAGAAACTCCACAGCTGAAACTTTGTTCGTTATTCATCAAAGTAGGAACAGTTTCCTTTCGAACTGCATCAAATATGTGAATAATAACAGAAGATTATCAGTGTGTACCGTGTTTTTCAGAGTATTAAAAAATGCGCAATGAAGAAAAAAAAAACATGTATAAGTCGCACTTTTGGAGCTGACATTTCCTGTGTAAAGTCAAGTTGTAGTAAAAACACTAGAAGAGAAAACAACAGACTGTTAACGTCACATATGAACAGTTCTTCAGATAAACTAGAACATAAACAACAGAACAGAACAAGTTTAACAAACTCTCCATCTCACTCCAAATCACTGAATCCATTCAGTTCTTCATCCTCGGTGTCACTTCTGAACAACTCGACCTCCGGAGGTAAACAGAGCGACGCAAACTCTTCTGCGTCGCTGTCGTCAGACTCACAGTGCAGCTTTCTCAGGACGGGCGGGGGGAGGAGCAAAAGTCGGACTTTCATAGTTTCCCCAAATAGTGCCTGTTTATGTGCAGAAGATACAATGTGAAAAGAGTTATTTTGCATGAGATGGGACCTTTAACTCTTTCCCCCATGAAGACGACATTTGACGACCTCCTTGTTTCCTTAATGACGTGTTTTGACTCCTGCTGTTTCACTAAAGACGTGATTTGACGACCATTAGAAACGGTTTTGGTTTTTCACATGTAAACAGAGGCTGTGATAGGTGGAGCCACTACAACCCACACTAGACTGACCAATAGGATTCAAGGAGATGTTTTCGCCGATTTTTTCCGAAGTTAATCGAAGTAGTGACGATTGTAGCTTCCGGAAAAAACACAACACGAAACACGAGCAATGGAAAGATCGCGGTGCTGCGGCGCACAGTTTTAGAAATAATGAGGAGCGGACGTATTTTATGGATAAGTTTAGAGAAAGTGACTTTTATAGATTTCAAAGTGATGATGAAGTTGATTATAAAGTGGAAAACAGCGACGGACTTTCAGAGAGTGAAACATACGAAGGTGAGAATGTCGCTGATGTGTCTGTGTGGAGTCCTGCGATGTCCAAACAAACTATCAGGGGCTTTATACTCGATTATGAACCAAAACTGCCCTGAAATCTGGATGTTTCTCAGGCGAGTCCTTTAAAATATTTCAGTCTTTTTTTCCAAGATGCGATGTTTGACAGAATCACTACAGAAACAAACACTTATGTGGAGCTCTGCACACGAGAAAGTGACCAAGATGACAAATACTGAACACACACTGACGGGGAAGAGTTTTATTATTATATTATTATATTATAATAAGATAAATGAGTTGAATAAGTAAAATGGAAAAAATGAATTAGGTGCACACAGGTGAACAACAGGTAAAAACAGGTGAACACTTGGCTTTACTGTATGTGATGATATGAAATGTGTTTAAATACTTTGACAAAGTATATTTTAATTTTTTTTATGAATATAGTTTTCAGAACATGCAGATATCAGAAGCTGAATATAGTTTTTTTGTTTTCGATTTTGCACCTGACCAGGTAAACTCTCATTTTCAGTGAGCTGTTATAAACCTGTAAATGAGTTGAATCACATTTAAACATCCAGAAATGAAGAGTTCAGAGTCTGAGGTTTCCAGAGATACAAATATGTCTGTGTTACAATTAAGTTCATGAGGTAAAAATCATTTATAATCACTCGTGGAAGTCGGTTTTCTTTTATGCAGTGATGCTCTAGACCAGGGGTGTCAAACTCATTTTGTTCCGGGGTCGTGTCCAACCGACTTTGATCCCAAAGTGTCCGGATCAGAAAACTCATGTCATATAAACCCCAAAAATAACAATAAGTTCAAATATTTGTGCAGAGAAACACAAATCTATTACAGAAATCTTTTTTAATAGATGAACTCTTTCTTTTACAAAATATTATAATATTATGAACAACCTGAAACTTTAAAGAAAAATACAATTTCAACCCAAAGTTTTAACATGAACTTGTATGTAAATAGGAATAAGTCCATTTTTGTTGTAAAATCCTGCACTCGGCTCCACTTTTCTCATGTTGGACATTTTTCTGATGAGGGTGTCACGGTCAACAGTCAAAACGATCGTCCTTTAAGAGCGTTTGGAAAGAGACAAGTCTTCATTTGTGCTGCTCTGGTGGGAGGGGCCACGTACAGAGACGCTGGAGACGCTGCTGTGATAAACACCACAGAAAATTAACAAGATTTTAATAGAAAATATCATTCAAATATTTTAGTAGAAAATCAGCCGAGGGCCAGATTAAAGGTCTTGGAGGGCCGGATCTGGCCCCCGGGCCGTATGTTTGACACCTGTGCTCTAAGGGGAGCCTCAGTCATATATGTCTGGGTTGTTCCTAGTGGGCGTCCAGGGGGGAAAGAGTTAATCGTGTGTCGTGCTTCGTGTAGTAAACATGGGGGTAACGAGAATCGATCAACGAGAACCTCACGACCAGCTCCCGATCGACTATCGTTGGCCGCAAGAAAATCAAACCTGTTCGTGAGGGTTTCGCGCCGCTGAAGTCGATCATATGGTGTGAGAAAGTAAATCGTGAGCTGTGAACTTTTAAACTCTGCAATTTCGTCGTACAGCAGAGTGAAACCATCGTGAAAAAATCCCCCGTCACAGTTATAAACACAGACCTGAGTTTGACCCTGTTTGGTTCCGTTCTTTTCAGTGACATCACATTTAACAAGTCTAATAATAAACTAAAACATGTCTGTTTTTAAACTGATAGAAAAGTACGTTTGATTCTAAATAACATGCTGCCTTCTCTTTTCTAACCCAACCAAACTCTGAACCCCGTTGCAGTTCTACGTGATCGAGTACGCCGCCTGCGACGCCACGCTGAACGAGATCGTGACGCTGGAGCGATTACGGCCCGTCAACCCGAACAAAGGAGCCGCCAAGTCCACGTTCATCAAGATCAGGCTGGACGTACCGGAGGACCTGCGGCAGATGTGAGGGACACGGGGAGGGCACCTGACGCACGCACGGGCACGGGGAGGGCATCTGACTCAGTTCCTAAACGACGTGACCTCTGTGTTTTCAGGTGCTCCAAAGAGTCGACTCACAAAGATTTTAAAAAGGCCGTGACTGCGTTCAGCGTCACCTACGACTCGGAGAAGAAACAGCTCGTCATTCTGGTGAGTCTGAGTCTGAACATTTCACTGGATCTTCAATTAGGACTCATGAACTTTATCTTAAATGGAAATGAATGATACTGTTTGTACTAGAGCCCGACCGATCTGGATTTTGTTGTGGCCGATATAATCACCGATATATTTAGTGATGTAAAAATTCACTTTAAGTCTTGAATTATTTAAAAAAAAACTTAGGTTTGGCTCTAGTGGATTTTAATCTGGGTTTATTTAGGCAACATTTATTGTTATTCTGCCTTTTTACATGATATGTCATAGGACTAAGGCAGGTCTAAAGCAGGACTAAACCAGAACTGAACCAGGACTGAAAAAGGACTAAAACAGATCTAAACCATGTGTAAAACAGGACTAAACCAGAACTTAACCGGGACTGAGTGTCGGGACTCGGTCTCTATCTCTCTCCCTCTCTCGACCTCAAGATTAGTCCTGGTTTATTTATTTTATGCTGAATATGTTTATGCACATTTTTGTTTTATCCTATGCACACACATATTTTTGAAAGTTTTGTTTTGAGCCGCTGCCTGCTGTCAAACTCCCACGAGTCTGTACGAGACGTGAAGAGAAAAAAAGTGAGAGAAAGAGAAAACACAGCTCCCGTCATTTGCTTCAAAGAGCCGCTTCGTTCACGACCGACTCATCACTACTAGCGAGTAAAGAAACTACCGCTATTAGTCTTTAGCTGTAAATGCTGCGCGCCGCGGTAATTAATTATATGCGCAAATGTCATCATTCACACGTCTATTCAGAGCTCATTTACATCAGTGCAGGTCCAGTAACAAATATACGACCAATACAGTCACTTTACAATAGACCAACAGCTAATCGCTAACCTATCAGAACGAACCAAAACTAGCTTCAAAGTCGACATATTATGAACACTCACCGCTCACACAGGCTCCTCCCACATCACAAGTCTGAACTAATAAAAGTCCTTTTAATCCAGACTCAAACCGATTGTCTGTAAAAAGAAAATAATCTCAGTGTTGCACATGGATCTGTGTCTGCGAATGTAAACAAACACACATGACTCTGTGGTGTGTTCAGGGACAGTACGACACACACAGACAAATGACTCCGCAGATAAATACTGATGTGGAGCCACATATTTGGACATTTATCTGTCTGTAAATTGGATTAAATGAACATAATGTAGAGAGTCAAAGCTTTATAATGAGGTATAACATGCCCACGGGAAATATCGGCCCCTATCAGCGAGCATATCGGCCGATAATATCAGCCAACCGATATATCGGCCGGGCTCTAGTTTGTACACAAAATAATTCAAAATGCTTCACAGAACAATTAGAGGGAAGATTTAGTCGTCCAAGTTAGGGATGAGCATGATGAGTGGACTATTCAATAATTGATCATTAAGAAGTTCGTCGATCAGTGTAGGTCTTTGTGTGTAACATAGTGTGAGGAGAGGAGGCTGCGTCTGGCACAAACACTGGAGTTACAGCCTCACAGTTCCACGTTTGGGCTCTGGCTCCTTGGAGACGCCTCTCCTCTTTTTCAGTGTCCCGGTTTTGTAATGGTGCACGGAAACGCAGTATCCCAGTTACTGCAACATAAAGTTGAGTCACATGTGTCCAAAAGACAAACACTTTCCAGTCTTTTCACCGCAACAGGAGCGACATAAATGAAGTGAAATGATGTTAAATAAAGAGCTGCAGTAAACCTGCACACGTCTGATCTCTGAAAACATGAACCATCTCCAACACGACACACACAGAACACACTCGTCATCAGCAGAACACCCCTCTGTCACGGAGAGAACACTCATATTCCACTGAGTCGTGACCTTTAGGCCAACAGAAACTGAACTGTATCAGCGCACAAGGAAAGAGCTGGGTTTTTTTTTTTTAGAGCTTATAGTTTATGCAAATGAGTCGTGGTTTTAAGTTTAGTTTGTGTAAAACATAAACAAATGTGTCAAAGCTGAATTAAACACATTATGTCAAACGGGCTGATGTGGCTCTAGAGTGTTTATGGCTTATATGTTGTAAAGTTGAGTTTATTTATGCAAATTAGTTATAGAAATAATAATAGAGATCATTTTAATATAAAATCATTAATGATTACTTGAAAATTTATCGTTAATTCTTCTGACGATCTTTTTTTTTTTTTTCATTTATTTATTTAAGAAAATAGGGACAAAACACATTAATGATCATATACATGATATGTAAATATGTTATCAGATTATAGCCCAAGGCTAATTTCCATCTGCTGTCCCTAGGCAGGTTGATGTAATCATAAAACAAAATCACAGTAAAAACAATACACCCCGACAGACAATACAATAATACAAATAGACAGACACAAAGAGCTGGTCAGTCACAAGATCACAGACAGGTCAAGCAAAGGATGTTGGATTATTTGATCAAAATTGCACGAAGAAGAACGTTTAATCGAATGCCCATCCCTAGTCCAGA